CTCTGGCTAAGTCCCCGCCTCCGTGGAGGCCAGCCTCAAGGAGACCTATTAGGTTGTTAAAGAGCCACCTAAAACAACTAGGCTTGTGCTCCCTGACCCTTGTGTGCTGCAGAGGCTGAGACCACCATCATCCTCAGATTCTCGGATGAAGACAACGAATCCCTGAGCTTACATCACCTGCGTGAGGTTGCAAGGGCAGCAAGTGATGGGGTCAGGTTTCAACCTTGGTCTGCCCGGCCCAGGACCCGTGTTCACAGGAGCCGTGCCCAGGCGTGAGCTCCATCAAGCGGTGCCTCCACAAGTCTGAGCCCCGCCTGGTGGCAGCCCTGCAGGTGCCCGAAGGTGGCTGTCCTGTGCTTGCCGCCAGGCCCCAAACCTTCCCGTGCCTAGCTTTAGTTCTGAGCTTTAGGTCATGTGGGTTTCGGTCTTCCTCTCACCCTGGTTATTCCCTTTGGGACCCTCCGAGTCTGTCTACATCTTCATGGAAGGAAGAAGCTCCCAGGAGTTGAGGCTGTGCCCAGAAAAGTGGTGAGCTCCCTGTGATGGAAGGTATGCAAGTGAATAACCAGCCATCATCTGGGATGCTCTGGAAGGGATTTTTGTTTTGGGTTCAGATTTGATGGGGATGGTACAAAACCCATGAACTAGAACTTCTATCCTTTCTCTGTCTCCCTGCCGGGGTGCAGAACCCTGCACTGCGGTGCCCGCCCACCCCTCGGCCTCGCACCCTCGCTCGGCGTTGACGACGATAGCCCGGGGCTTGTCACGGTCCCCACGGAGCACCACACCCATGGCGTCTCCATTCAGCCGATGGACGTTGATGGTATTGGTGGCCTCACACGTCCAGAACAGCGTCCTGCTGTAGACGTCGATGCTGAGGTCGTGGGGCTGCCTATCTGGGTTTTGGCTCTGGCTTGGAGAAGTCAAAACGAAGGGCTGTAAAAACGAAGAGATCTGAGCGTTGGCTACGGCCGTCACGGGAGGGCAGAGGGCTCAGTTTCTGAGTCCAGACTGCAAGTCAGGACTCCAGCCCTGTCTGGGGCCCCTTCCTGTCGGATCAGCAAAACTTTATCCTTGGGGGGAAGGGGTGCCCCTAATAAAAGAATCAAAGCCACCAGAGGGTGGAGCTTAGCAAGACTCACAGGAAGGGAAACAGATGTTTCCCAAATTAAGTAGAAACCCAGAAGGTGTCCCTAAAGGACTTTTCCTTCCAAGTCTCTCCCTGCTTTTGCCAGACACCAGGAAAGAACACCTCCTGATGAGACTTTAAGGCAATCTGCACCCAGCACCTTCCTCAGCAGGGAAGCCACGGGCCATCAATTTACACTTCCCATCCTCCAAAGGACTCAACTCAACTGTCACCTGCCCTGGAAGGGATGGAAGGAACGCATTCCCACCATTCTGCCAGACTCTGCAACCCCCCCCCGCCCCCCGCCAGCAGAGATGATGCCAACCAAGGACACAGACCGCAGGGGACGGCTTGTCAACGCTGTGCTGTCAATGGAGCACTCTATCAGAAGCAAGGCCCAGCCCGGACACACAGCGCTGGGGCCCAGGTCAGGGTGGAGAAGAGCCAAGGGAACTTCACAGACACAGAAATCGTCTGGAAGTCTCCACCGGCGGCATTTCTCTGCGTCGTCTTGTAACAGAGCCAAGATTTCACCATGAGGACATGAGGTCTGACCCTGACCACGCCACAGAGAAAGGTTTCTGTACAAGGAGTTTTTGGAAACTGGCAGGCTGGGCCAGGCAAGGCGGTGAATGCCACACGAACGGAATGCTGGCCACATGGAGAGCCCGAGTAGGTCCCGAGGCCGCCGTGAGATGGTCCTTCACGGAACGGGCCACCGAAACCTAACGTGAAAGCGGGCCGTTCTGCTACAATAAACATTTTGAAAAGGCATACTTGTTCTGATGCATCGATTCACTGGGGCCCAGTGTCAGCCTAACACGGATTTTGCATTTGCCAAAGCACAATCTCATCCGCGAGAAATGCTGGGTGAATGCGAGGGCGGCCCACACGATCCCACACCTGCAGCGCCCTCCGCCGCCCGTGAGCGCTGGGCGCGTAACCTCCCGCCCCGTCGTCTCACGCAAACCCACGAGCTGCGGCCCTCCCGCCCCCATGTCCTCAGCCAACTCCGGGTCTCTTCAAGGTCACTAGGGGTTACGTCTTGAATCCTTTAACATATGCAAAAAGGTGCACCTGTACTTACGAGGTCCCTATCTTTTCTTCACCTGTCCCTGGCAAGAGTTTTGAGTGCTGTGCGCCTCGCCCCCTTCTCCCACAGCCCTGTGGTTTTGCTGCGTGATTCTGCGTGGCGTAATGAGGTTTAGGAACGTATGTGTTGCATTACAGCAAAACGGACTCTGCGAGTCCAATGAACTAAGAATAAATCCAGAATAACCAATACCAACTAGCCTTGCACAAAACCACTGTGGAAAGAAAGAAGAAAAAAAAAAAATCCCATTTCTACACATAATCATAATCTAAGGGTTTTACACCACTCAGGATTATACCCTGGGAGGGCATAATTAGAGCCCAGATTGTTGTTGGCGCAAGCCGTGCTCTGTTGGCACCCCTCTGCTAAGCAAAAGGGGATGGCAGCCTGGAAACGGCCCGGGGGAGCTCCTCGTGGAAGCGACCCCCGTGTCCCCCAACAGGTACACTTGCCTGGGTCCCATCGTCCTTGGCTCGCTTGATGTTCTGGCGCCCATCCACCCAGTAGACGAACTTGTCCAGTGGGTCATAGTCGATGGCCTTGACGTTCCTCAGCCCATGCAGGGGCAGGATGAGGTCTGGGCTGTGCTGGTCATCGGGGATCATGCGGCTGATGGCACATTTCTGGCTGAACAGCAAGAAGGTGGTGGGCGCTAGAATGGGCAAAGAGACGAGGGGGCTGCGCGTCAGCGTCTGAAGCCGAAGACGGGGTCGGCAGGGAGGGACGGCATTCTGCTTTCTCCTAAGAGGCAGATCTGCATATGTACCTACTAGATGCACTGGGGAAAACGGGAAGGACATACAGCTACTTCCTGGGGGTGGACTACAGCGGATTCCACTTTCCATGTTACGTGTGTCTCTGCTGTTTCAACATTTCGTAAGTGCGTCAACTATTTTGAAATAGATAGCATTTTTAAATTATCAAGACTTAAGACAGAAGGAGGGTGATGGTAGTAAATACCAAACTCCCAACCATAACTGTACTTAATGCTCAGATAGCCGTATCATTTGCCGTATGCCCGCATGTGCTCATGTGAACTGCTGAAACTGTATGAAGTGAACTTGACACGGGAGGGGACACTTTACGGGGGTGTCAGTGAGCCAAACTGCCTGGGTGCAGAAAGCGCACTGCTCAGAATGTGTAGGAGGCGATGGTTAGAGCCACTGTTAGAGAACTAGAGTTGGGTGATTCGAAACTAAGTCACGGCCCCAGGTCTGCCAGCCACAGGGGCAGAGACTCGAGTTACAGGCATCCCCACCGGTGGGTGACTGCACCTTTGCATTGACCCTTCAAGGTGATGGCCCTCAGGGGACGGGGACCACAGGACCAAAGAGATCCCAAGAGTAGGGAGGCCCAGGCTGGGTCGAGGACCTGCTGCTTCATCAAGACACAAATACATGGGCCAAGCCCTCAGCTGAGTCAGTCCATAGGAGGATCTTTGGATGTAAAATCCACTCACAGGGGAGAGCACTCACTCACAGAGCCAGGCCTAGGCCTCCAGGTAACGTGCGGCTTACGCAGTGTACAGCCTACTCAACCATCCGTGAACACCGAGGCACCTCCGGACAAGAGGCTCCTTTGTGCCTCCGTCCCCAGAGCCAGCCTGATCGACATGGGGGAGGGGCGGGGGCACAGCGGGGCACTTACGGCTGCAGTTGCGGCTGCTGGGGTCCAGGGTGTAGTGGGAAGCACAGCCACAGCGGTGGCCGCCCGGGATGGCGAGGCAAAGCTGCCCACACTGCCCGTTGCTGTGCATGCAATCGTTGAGGCCGTCCTGGCGGGAGGAGTGGAACACCAGGATGTCCATCACAAAGTCCAGATGGCCCTGGATGAGGGTGCGGTTCCGGCCACTGGTCTTGTCGGCCCTCTCGATGCTGTGCAGGTTCCAGTCGGTCCAGTAGATGTAATCGCTGTACTGCGTCAGGCCAAAGGGGTGCGGGAGGTCGTCAGCAATCACGACGCGCTCCTGACCTGCGTGGACACACATGGGCACGGCGTCAGCGATGCACGGCCGGGCCACAGCGCAGGGCTGACTGGTTCGAAGCTGCCTGGCAACCTGCGTCAGAGTCAAAGTGTTCCAGCGCTTTGGAAAACAAGCAGGGCCGGCTGCAGCTGGAGGCCACCTACCCTGTGACCAGGCAAGTCCCCTCCTACACCGCAATGGAGATGCACGTGCTGTCCACTCCAATGACATAGACTAAAACGTGCACAGAGCCACAGCCGGGAAACAACCCAGATGTCCACCAGTAGTAGAGTGGACGGAGGCGCCTGAGTGGCTCTCAGGCAGTGAAGCATCTGCCTTCAGCTCAGGTCACCATCCTGGAGTCCTGGGATCAAGCCCCGTGTTGGGCTCTGCGCTCAGCGGGGAGTCCGCCTGAGATTCTCTCTCTCCCTCTGCCCCTCCCCAAGCTCGAGGGTGTGCATTCTCTCTCAAATAAATAAATCTTTTTAAAAATTTTTTTTTAAAAAATCAATTAAAAGGGGGGCCCAGCTGGCTTCGTCCATGGAGCATGCAACTCTTTTTTTTTTTTTTTT